ATATAATATTTGCTATCATTGAAAATCAATTTTTTTTTTAAGCTCATTGATAGTTTTCTTATGTGAAATTTTATTAATATAAGTAATATTTTGATATTTTTAATATGTGAACAGTAAATTCGGTTTAACCCGGTTCAACCAGTGACCTTGTACCTCGACCGGTTCATTGACCGGTCCGAGTTTTAAAATACTGCTTTTATTAGAAGAGCTTAACATTTAAATGGACAACTATATATATATATATATTTATTTAATGTTTTTCCTATATTTCCTGTGACCTCAAAATGAGGCAGTTTTAGGATTGGGAAGAAAAAAAAATTGTAGTGATAAAAACTAATATTATCACAGAATAAATTATAATTAAAAGAATGAATAAATTTTATTTTGGATCTCTAAAAAAACACGATCCACTATTTCGTCCCTTATAAAAAAATACTCATATTAGTCCATTTTAAAAGACTAAATTGAATTTTAATTGAACTTCTGAATAATCATATTTTCAGAGAACTAGAATTATAAAATGATCAAAAATTGAATTTTTTTAATAAAGGATAAAAATGAAAACCGTATTTTACTCTTACAAAAATACAACATAGCATCACATTTAATTCATAATTATGCAATTAAGCAAATTAAGTTCAACCAATGTCAATCCGGATCAGAAAGGGAAAAGTTGACTGTTGAATAAGAAAATGCTTGAAGACTGAGTGCCAGTACTACGGAATGCTAGTTAATCCAATGATGGCCCGCAATAAGGAAAGTGAAAAGGAAATAGCATGTTTCATTTATTTTTTTTTCAATTTTTATTCTTAAATATGTTTTAGTTGATAACTTTTAAGTTTTGACCAAAGGGTCAAACAAAAGGGATTAGCCTATGGGTCAATTTTTTATTATTATTATTAGGTAATATTTTATTTATTATTAAATTTTTGTGATATAAAATTTCGTTTATCTTAATAAAACTCTAGAAAAATAATAAAAAAATTATTTATGCTAAAATTATCCATATATGATAAAAAAAAATTCTAAAAAATATCTGATTAAACGTTAACATACATTTAGTCTTCAAATTGAAAAAAAAATGTAAAATAAAAATAAAAATAAAATATTATAAAATTAATAAAATATAATTTTTTTTTATTTTTTAATTATTTTTTTAGAGAAGTTAATCCACCATCCCATATTCAAAAGGCCGGGCAGAGATGGCCAACTCACTCCGATTGATAGCGAGTCTAGATGGGCCCACTATTTTGGCTCCTCTAAAAATTTCAAAGCACCACAGTTCAAGTAAGGCAGCGGGAAAAGGAAAAAAAAAAGACGTTACAGATTTATAATTGCTTCGGTGAAATATTAAATATAACTCAAGCATTTACCTAAATTGCTAAAAAGAAAAATTAAATATATAAAAATTCCACGAACGGACATGTACAACACTTTTATGGTTAATCACCCAAAAAAAAAAAAGATGAAGACGTCTAATTCATACATGAGAGAAACTAACTAGGTTAAAATTTGTGGAATTCTGAAAGCTAAGAAAAAAAAAAAAAGTAGATCAGAGATTCTGCATAAGTGTAGTGTTAGAGGAGGAACTATGCAAGAGCTTCCCTTGTGGCCGGCACCACTCTGAAAATGAGCTCAAGGTCAGGCGGGTTAAAATAGCCACTCTTGGGTGGGACCCTCTTACTCTTTGGGAAAACCGCCGGCTTCTTCTTCGGCGCCTGTGGGCACGCCACCGCCGTCGGTATCCGACAACCTCTGTGTTTGGGCGTCCGGCAACCTTCTTCGATGTCCATGACCATTATTTGTTTAGAGTGTTTTGTCTAATTAGAGGATGTGTTGTTATTTATAGTTGCACTTGCACCCAACGAACAAGTAGTGGGTAGGGTAACTTGGGTTACTTGTAGAGGAGGGTGTTGCGCAAGCGTGCGGTGGAATCTAAACGAGATCCACGTGGCAAAAAGGCCGGGCCTTTTCGTCTTATGTGGGGTGTGGGACCCGCAGAGCATGGTACATAGGATTCTAGTTGTTTTTTCCGAGGGTGCCAGAAGGTTTTGGAGCTTCGAATTTAGACCACATGTTGGTTTTTGGCGGGAGAGCTTGGGATTGGTGGGCTTGGGCCAGGTCGGTGGGTAATGGGCCCCGTTTAGAGTTACTTGCGGTGGAAGGACTGTGTACTTGTAAAATGACCTTGCTGTCCTTCTGTTTCGAACTGGACATCACCGCCAAGTCAACCTAGACCAGGAATGTTCCACCGTCACTTATCCTTTTGAATTGGTTACACACTTTTTAACTTTTATTTGTTTTTATTATTAATTCATATTTGTGATAGTAATATATGAATGGGATTATCATCTCTGCTTTTAAAGTAGAGAACTTGTTTCTACCATAGATATATTAAAGAAGTGGGTCTCATTGTATTTTTTTCTCTCATTACTCAATGTTTTCTCTCTATTGTTTCTCTCTCAGTGGCAGAAATAAGTTCCATGCTTTAAAAACAGAGATGATAATCCCTATATGAATATGCTTAAAGGACATTTTAAAAAGAAAATTATGGTGTGTACTAACAAAAATTATGGTAAATGTGCAAAACAATTAAGTTTCTGTACAAAATTCTAACGTGACTTTGTATAATTTTATATTAAAAAAATAATATTATAAAAATGAGAACGTTGGGTATGTATAAAGAGCAGATATCATTATTCGAGTTTAGTTTTTTCTTTTTTTAGTTTTTAAACTGGTTGTTTTTACTTGGGAAAGTTGTATAGACTTGGTGGTGTACGGGAAGCATGCGTTGTAGAGCAATAAAAGAAAAAAGCAGCCTCCTCATCTTGGAAGAGTGACCAAAATATTACTGTTTACTGATTTTTTTATTTAAATGTCATGTGAATAATGTTATTTTTTAATATGTCACGCGGACAAGTTCGCTACAGTGCTCAGTGAACTTGGTTTGCTGACGTGGCACGTTTCTGATGACAACAAATTTGCTACTCCCAGTAGTGAACTATGTTGCAATAAATGCTGATACATTAGAGAAGTTCGCTGTCACATGCAGCGAACTAGGTGTGCCACGTGTCTGACATGCCTAGTAAATTAAAATTACAAAAATACCATGATTTCCGCCCCAAAAGGACGTTGTTTTGATGAAAATTAGACAAAGTTATCTAAAGTAACATTAGATACTTTTTTTCTTGTGATATTATTGTGACAAATTCGAACGATGTTTGTGAGAGATAAAATATGTCAAATGAGATGTCATTGGGTAGATCTCTAAAAATTATATGAAATAAAATAAAAAATATCTGATTTGGACATCCGAATCAAAAGTTATGGCTCTCCGAAGTGATTGGTGATCGGTATATTAATTGTGACCAGTACGATCAAAAGTTAATCTCATTGGTATATTAATTGTGATTGGTGCATTGATTGCGATTGATGATTGATACATTAATTTTAATTGGTACATTAATTAAATTGCTATTTTCCTTGCTTTTTTTTAATTATGATTGGTACCTAGTTCGTTGCATTTGGCAGCAAATTTTTTTAATGTGTCAGCATTTATTAGTTCGCTACTAGGAGTAGCGAATTTGTTATCCACTAGAAACGTGCTACGTCAGCAAACTAAGTTCGTTGGATACTGTAGAACTGTAGTGAACTCGCCCGCGTGACATATTGATAAATAATACTGTTCATGTGACGTTTAGAGAAAAAAAAAAAAATAAGAACAGTGATATTTTGTTCACTGTTGCCCTCACCTTAGTGTGAAAGTGAAACCGTTGAGGTCAAATAATGGTCCACCGCCCAGCAGGCCATTATACATTTTTTAACACAACAAATGTTATTAATAAAAAAAATATTATTAACAGTTCCATACATCTATTCCTTTTCCGTTTCAGTATATGACTTTTGCGGGAAGACATATATTAAATCATGTCACACTCAAAATTACCGGATACGGTTGAATGCTCAACTCAACAGGTGATGTCCTAGAAATTGTAACACAGTTGTTCATCACAAGTTACAAAAGTTCGTCTTAACCCTTTAACCTGTTACCTATTAGAAGAATTAAAGAGAATATAACAAAAACCCGTAAGTTTTTTCTAAAATCAGTTACCCTTTCTAAAATTTTGAATTATTTGTGTCTTTAATTAAAATTTTATGATTATTTATCCTTCTAACTTCAAGTTTCTTTATCGTCTATTTTCTAACTTAGAGAATAAATGATAAATAAACTTGAAATTAAGATATAAATAATTCAAAATTTCAAGAAAGAAGTAAGTGATTATAAAAAAATTTGCCTTAGATTTTTTGAAGTTTTTCCGCACATGTATATATTAATCGACGAGTTATTTAAGACGTCAACTAGCTTAAATGATAAAGTCATTTACAAATGAATTTGGGGACGTTTGGTACACGAATTTTTCTCGAATTTCTGGGAAACTGAAATTTATAAAATTTTAAATTTTCAGATATTATCATAAACTGAATGTAAAAATCATATTTTTAAAAATCGAGATTTTCAGACAAATAAAAATTTATCATGTACCAAATCTCACTCTCACGGTTTCACCCTTCCGGTTGTTAGTAGGTGTACTATGTCATCTCCTATCTCTCTTTTATACATAAGGGTGTCTAGTTCTATTTGATGTCACTTTAATAATTAGTTAACAATTTTAATGTTATACGAAATAAAATTATATTTTATATCTAAAATAATATTGTTTTGGGACCACAAAGTAAAAAAGTTTCATATAACAAGAGAATGACACAATTCAAATAAAAAAATCTTGTAAATAATTCTTAAAATAATCAAATAAAAATTACACCTAAAAGAAGTGATAGATTAAACTAAAAGTATGTACTATGTACATCTAAGTGACCTTATATAATTTTTAGTGACTTAAATCAAAATTGGTAAATATTAATTATTCGTTACTATTTCGTTGTTTAGTTTACATAATAATTTTTCCCTCTTGAAATTTTGCAATTTACTCAAGAAAATCAATCGTGGAATAGAAAAGGAAGTGGCAACTGGCAAAGAATGGTGGTGAAGGAAACTCTGCTACTACTGAAACTGTTCCTGGAACATCGACGACCCGTTCTCCGTGGGCCGACACAGACCGGTTAAGATTAAGCCGCCCCTACCCGAATCGGATCGGCTCGGCTCGGCGGTCTTCATCTCTGCCACTTAACTTATTCACGAGTGGGTAGGGCGCACTGCAACACACATTGGAAGCAACCCTCTCAGCTCAAGAAATCACTGTTTGTGTTTGTGTTCCTCGGCACCACAATGCCTTTCATCTCCAAAATCCAGCGCCAATCCGATTACAATCTCTTCAGTTCCCACACTCCCATAGTAATCGACAATGGCGCATCATATTTTCGAATTGGGTATCCTCACTCGCCAACCCTAATTTTTACATCTTTTCCCTCTTTAGCTCTTTCTCTTTTTTTTTTTTTTTTTTCTTTTTGGAATCAAATTTTAGATAAGGTGGTTACTGGTTAGTTAAAGTTCGTTCCTTTCACGTGAATTATCAGATGGGCAGGAGAGACCGAACCCCGTGTTGTTTTCCGCAACATCGTACAAAGGCCACGCCATAAAGTCACCGGTAGTTTCCCATTTTTATGTCTGTTAAGCAGGGATAGATAAAATTTTGTTAATGCTAGAAAAGATTGTAGTGGAATTTAAGCAAAGATAGAAGTATATAATATATATACAAGTTCTTGTTGCTTCTGTACAATTGCATTATTTTATTTTGGATGCTCTTTTTTTTTTTTGTGGTAAATTTAGGACCAATGTATGTTTATTATGTCTGTATTGGTAGCTGTGTATATTCGAGACAATTTCTGTCCTGACATTGTTCCTCTTTGCTTGCCTATTAATTAGCCAACCCAAAGCAATTATGTGGTTTATTGAATGTTTGTTCTTTCACATTCTGTAACACAGGAGAAACTGTCACTATTGTGGGTGACCATGATCCGGCATTACTGAAATACTTTGACTGCACTCGCTCTGGACCACGCTCGGCATTTGACAGCAATGTTGTTTACCAGTTTGAAATAATGGAATATGTAAGCTTATTCTCATCATGGGTTTAAATTGCATGCTTCATTGTTTTAAAAGAACTCCTTGAGGATAACGTTGCTGACATTTCTCTGGTGTATAGATTCTTGATTTTGGATTTGACCGGTTGGGTGCAAATGGATCGGAGGTATGGCTATAGGTGGAAAAGTGTTTTTCATTTTTCTTTTCCCCCAGCATTCAGCTTATTATATTTTCTACTATGGTTCAGTTGGTGTTGTTGATGCTACATCTAAATTTGGTGTGTTAGTAAAACTTAATGACCTTGTGTTGGTACCTAACAGTTCTTTGGTTTGGTGAATACTGATTCTTCCTTTTAAGGTGTTTTTTGGATTTAAATAATTTTGACTCATTCTTTCTAATTTCAATGTTTAATGCCAGAGCAGATTGATCATCCTGTCCTAATCACAGAATGTGTATGCAACCCAGTTCAATCTCGTAGTAAGATGGGGGAACTTCTTTTTGAGACTTACGGAGTTCCATCAATAGGTACTAATACCTTGCAACCTACAAAAAACACTTCTTCCTATTTTACAAGTGGCCTTCATTCTTCAATAGGAAACTGATTCCAGTGCAAAACCCTAAAATACCATGTTTTGTGTCACGTTGTTACTTGTTTTGTCTGTCAGGGATTGTATAACATCTTCATTCTGTGCTAGATCCTGTATGTGTAATTTTGCTTACAAAAGCTATTTGTGCTACTCTGTTTTGGCAGCCTTTGGTGTTGATGCAGCATTCAGCTATAAATATAATCAACAACAAGGAGTTTGTGCTAAAGATGGTCTTGCTTTGTGTCCTGGATTCACCACAACCCATGTGATTCCAGTATGCTTTTTCTGTTATTTACTTATAGTAAATGAATCTTTCATTTCTATTGCAGATTATTGTAGTTGCTCACATCCACACGACACATGCTTAAATTTATAAATATTATATCAATGTGTTGTATTTTTATTATTGTGATTATAGTAGTTAATATTATTAATCTGCTTGTGGGTCACTTTTGAGCCTCTGGCAGATTGTTAATGTAGGCAATTCTCTTGTTTTGCAATTTGCTCCATGCATATGCCTTTGTTAAGTAACAGTTGCATGTCGATTTTTTGTATCAATATGCCTCATCTGCTTGTTGCTGTTGTAGCTGACTGTGCCTCTAATGTCAGCAATAATAGTGTTATCTGTATAATTATTTTCCAAGATAGTTTGGTAATTAATAATCATCTAAACTACATATAACGAGAACTCTCCTTATTTTTATTTTTTATTTTTATTTTTTTTAAAAAAAGAAAAATTAAAATTGATACTTGATAGATTAAAACAATTTTAAACCTGTCCATGTAAAAGAGGGTGTGGGCAATTGAAATAAAAAACTGAAGGGCGAGGCGGCCGTAGGTGGTTGTTCGGGGATACTTCCTGGGTTTAACCAAAAAAAAATAAAAAAATTGTTCCTACTTTCGAGTTCGATAGACTATAGAGGGAGGATGTGCCCTTATGGGAATAAGATAAAAATTAAAAATCTGATAAAAATAAATAAAGAATTGTTATTTAAAAAAAAAATATTTTAAAAAAAATAAAAATCCACCCGACATGTGATTGTGCATGTTGGGGAGGCCAGTATGTAATAATGGCAAGTTGTGATCAGTTCCAACCACATTTATATTCCAATATATATTTAGCAGTCAGTTCTGCTATAATATTAGTAGACTTGCTAATAGGATCGACATACAATCTACCAACTGTAGTGAAGCATTCATAATTCTCTTTAATATTTTTTCTTTTTTGGGTTATTTCCAGTTTGTAGATGGGGAGCCTGTTTATAAAGGAAGCTGCCGTACTAATATTGGTGGATTCCATGTGACTGATTATTTAAAGCAACTTCTTTCACTTAAGTATCCATATCATTTGTGAGTATCAAATCATCTGGGTTTTGCTACTATCAAAGTAAATGTAAATACGTAGAGTTTCTTAGATTTTATTGAATGCTCAATGAAGGACTAGATTTACATGGGAAAAGGTTGAAGACCTAAAGATGGAACATTGTTACATTGCACCAGATTATGCTTCTGAAGCTCGGTTGTTTCAGGTATCAATTGTTTTTCTATACCATCTAAGATCCTACATTGTTTCTTAAACTTCATGCATGATCCAACAGAAAGGAGCCAAGGAGGCAGAAGAAAAAACCAGATGTTGGCAGCTCCCTTGGGTTCCACCCCCGACTGAAGAGCCTCCTTCCGAGGAAGAGATTGCAAGAAAGGCAGCAATAAGAGAGAAACAAGGTCAAAGGCTTAGAGAAATGGCTGAGGCAAAGAGGTCATCTAAAATAAATGAACTGGAGAATGAATTGCATGGTTTGGAATTTCTTTTGCATCAGCTTGAACAAGTGGAAGAGAGTGATGTTCCAGCTTTCCTGGCTGAAACTGGCTATGTCTCTAGGCAGGAGATAGAATCTGCGCGTAATAAAGTTATGCATTCTTTACGTAAAGCCAAAGGTGAACCAAAAACTGAACAAATTGACTCTGAAAAAGCTGACCTTGCCACTAATGAGAAGTATTCTCTTATAAACATCCCTGATGACATGTTGACACCAGAACAGGTCTGTTTTGTATCAAGCAGCTGATCTCATGCATCATTAAATTGAACTTTGTTTTCCCAACCTTTAAGTGTACTAGTATCAATTTTTCCTGGAACCATATTTTCTTACAATCTGAACATGGTTAAATTTTCCAAATAATTTCTTTGCATGATGTTCTTTGTGCTCTGTGAGGTTGACAATGTTCATTGCATTACTCTATTGATACTTGTAGCTCAATGAAAAGAAGAAACAGTTGTCCCTCAAATCCATGTCTGAAGGGCGGCAGCGATTAAAACAGAAGCGGTATGAAGAGGAATTGGAACGAGAGAGGAAACAACAGCTAGAGGAGGAGAAACGCCTGTATGTTTGATGTTCTAATTTCCTTATTAACTTAAATATCAAATTTGCACATTGTTTGTGGATGTTTTATGTGAGTAAAAGCATTCTCCCTTATATTCAACTAAGTATAATGGGGAAAACCAAGTGAGAGAGAAGAGCACCTTCTATCTAATTTAAAGGTTGCTAGATTGTATCTGATAAGGGTTTTGAAGGGCAGCCAAGGAGAACAAGAGAGAGAGAAATTGTGTACTGTACTATCTGCCTTATGTGCAGGGGACAGCTTTTGCCAAAGCACGAGTGGAATCTTGACTAGGCTTTGAATAGTACTATTATCATCCTCTTAACCGTTTCTTTTGCTCCTTGCTGTAGAGAGAACCCGGAGCTTTATTTGGAACAATTGCATGCTAGATACAATGATCTTTCGGAAAAAGTTGACCAGCAAAAACGGCTCAAGACTAATGGTGGGGGCCATACAAATGGAAATAATTTGTCTGGTGGTGTTGGCCGTGGTGAGAGATTGAGTGCTGCTCAGAGGGAACGAATGCGCCTCTTGACAACTGCAGCTTTTGATCGAGGTAAGGGTGAGGATACATTTGGTGCCAGAGATGAAGATTGGCAACTGTACAAATTGATGAGCAAAGATAATAATGATGATGATGAGGGACCTGATGAGGACGAGGCAGAGCTGGCCCGCATCTCTTCCAGGCTCCAGGTTTGTTCATTTTTATTTTATGTTGTTACAGTTAATTCATGTGTCAGGGCAGTATGTTTGCATGCGTGTGCAAGATCACCTTGTATGATTCACAGAAGATTTTTTTCTGAATTGTTGTTCTGGTAGGACCTGGATCCAACATTTGTACCCAAGTTAGAAGCTAGTACCTCTCAACCTGCTGAGGTGCCGCGTTTTCGTCCTCTTACCAAAGAAGATTTTCAGATTGTTATTGGGGTGGAAAGATTTAGATGCCCTGAAATATTGTTTAATCCAAACTGGATTGGGGTTGATCAGGTAGGTTTAGATGAGATGGCTGGGGTCTCAATGAGGAGGTTACCATACAAGGATGAAGGCTTGGAAGAGAGACTGACTAGTTCCATACTTGTGACCGGTGGAAGTTCTCTTTTCCCTGGTATAGTTGAACGCCTGGAAGCTGGAATTCGAATGATTAGACCATGTGGATCACCTATAAAAATAGTTAGAGCATTGAATCCAGTAATGGATGCATGGCGTGGAGCTGCTTTCTATGCTTCAGCCTCACAGTTCCATACGCAAACTTTCAGTAGAAGTGATTATTATGAAAAAGGTGAAGACTGGCTTCGCAATTATCAACTGCAATATACATTATAGTTGATCACGCAGTACATTACTGTATACTGACTGGAATATCTGACCTTAGTTTAGAGATTAGTATCCAGTAATGTAATCCTTTATTTATTCTTGCTTTTGCTGAAGCTCGAAGCGGAACATCAATGAAAGCATGGTCCCGCTGATGTTTTCAATCTTATGTACCCTAACACCTCGGTGATTTTAACTGATTAAATTATTTATAAGGTTTTCATTACCCACTCGTCTGAAGGTGTGGTTATGCATACCAAAAACTTAAGCAGAAGATTCCTCTGGTGAGTTATAGCAACTAGTTTTGGAACTGCATCTCAAGAAACTGTCGCTTGCTTATTTTACTTTGCGGGCGTACGCTCCATATTATTAATTTTTAAATGCATGTTTTTTTTTTTATATAGAGATATTATTAGAAAAGAAACCAAAGTTTGCTAGATGAGATGCTGATTGAAGAAGGCATTTCACGTCACCATGTTTAAATGAGAGAATTCAAATCATACAAGGATAAATCAATAGTGATGATTTTGTATTTTTTAATTCTATTTTTTCTTTCTTTTTTCTTATTACCGTTGATTCATCTTTTTAGAGTTGAAATTGTTTTACATGACAGGTCATGTTAAATAACATATAAGAGAATTCATTTTCATTCCATAAAATATACGCAACTTTGGAAACGAGTTATATGTACATAACAACAAAAATGAAAAAAAACTAGAAACCGTTTGACATGCACCAATTAACATCAAATTGGGCGTTTGTAGCCCAAGAGAATTGCACAAACTAAAAAACCATTACATTGTGGTTACACATTTGTATTCTAGTCATTCCTATAATTCACCCGGATAAGGAATATCTTGTGTGTATATAACAATCTATATCTTAGCCTCTGGCTTTAAACCTTGACATATCAAATAGATCTCTCTTGATGAAGGCCTTGTGGCTTTAGGTCTCAGCCACGATGACTTTCTAAAGAATGGTTTAGAAATCTGGCTGATTTCTGCAGCATAAATATTCAAAGAAATTAAATTAATATATAACATGCAATCAAATCAGCTGAAATAAATTAGTCATCAAGCACCTTTGGCATCTTCACTCTCCAAAAGCTTTATAATAAGGTTCCCTCCAACTTGCAATAACCCACTCTCATCCGAACTGGATTGTTCATCACATTGCTTCTCATGACCATCATTATCATCATCATAAACAGATGCAACTCTGCCAACAGCCAAATCCAATGCTCGCATCCCTAGCTCAACCGACAAAGCTGCGTCTTTAGTTGTGATTCCCGAAATCGATGGACACATGTCCGAAAGTATCACAGAGAACCCTTTTTGCTGCAGCACATAGTGAAAATTAGCTGCGTTTCAAGCCTAAACCTTCAATATGCTCAAACCCCCATTTCACCATAACATTGAAGCATTTTTTTTATTGTAGTGATTATGAGATTAAAAAAAAAGGCACACAATTACAAAAAGAGAGTAAAAGTACGTGTGGAGAAAGAGCTCTGAGTTGGTGTTGAGGGAGGGTCATGACATCAGCAGAGATGGTTTGAACCCTTGAATCACAATGAAGAGGAGGAACCTTCACTTTCTGTTATAATAAGCAGTACTAATGATGAGTGATTGAAAACAAGACACGGTAGCATAGAAATAGAATGAAGAAGAGAAGAGAAGAGAAGAGAAGAGAGGGTTGCCTTGCCTTGAGATCAATGCCGAGAACGAAGCCACCATTTTGGATGGGACCGAGGCTCTGACAAGCGACTTGAAGCCAAGCACCAGGAGCACAACCCAAGTCAAGAACAGAAGAACCACCCTTTATTAGCTTGTACTGTTTCTGTATCTGAACCAACTAATTAATACCAACAATTCCAATCGAGTGAAGAGTGAAGAGTTAGCACATACAATACAAGTAAAGTAGCACTTTCAACAAAATCAAATAAACGATGAATGAATACACGATGGGTTGTTGTGTTGTGTTGTGTTGAGTGTGTTCACCTTGAAGGCAGAGCGAGCCACATAGCCAAGGCGTTGAGCCTCCTTGTAGAAGAAATCAGGTACTCCACTCACACCCATTTCTCCATTCACTCCGCACCCAAATCTATGAACCTCTTCCTTTTATACTTCCATACCTAGCATTACGAGGGTTAAGGTTTGAGGTTTAACAATAGTATTGGTTACGGGAAAAAAATAAATAATAAATAATAAATAATAATAATAATAATAATAATAATATACAATTTAGACACAATATCAGTACGACATTTATCGAAATAATTCTCTTTAATTTCATGAACTATTTAAATTTAATTATATCGAGTTTAGTATTTATTTAAGAAATATAATATTGTAACAATCAATTAGTGTTACTATCAATGTTACTACAATTAATTTCAAGGTTAGATCGATTATATTGATTCAACGATTATATTTATTTTCATTTTTGTATGGTTATGATTTCCTATATCTAATACTTTATATCATAATCATACAAAGATGAAAATAAATATAAAGTATTAAATATGAGGAATCATGATCAAACAAAGATGAAAATAAATATAACCGTTAGATCAACATAATTGATGTAACAGTAAAATTGATTTGTATTAACAACATAATTGATATAACGATAAAATTGATTAGTAGTAACACTAATTAGTTATTACAATATCCTTCTCCTTCGTTTAAACTTCAGATTCAACAAAAACTTCAATTTTTTACTAAATAAAATTAATAAGTCTTTTCTATATACATTCTTTACCTCTACAATGCGCCAAGATCAAATTGTCTTGCGAATCTCTCACAAATAGTGAATGAAACATTAGTAGATGATAATCACAATAATAGAGGGCCAGTATTGATTTAATTTTCGAGTGAAGTTATTTATCGTAAAGTAAATAAATCCCTATGCCAAAAATAAAAATAATAATTAAAATATTCATGAACTGTGATGGTAGTGAATTTGGTTGCAGTCAAACAACAACGATATAAAGACTCGAGTTTAATCATTGTTATCAACTTTAAAATAAAATAAAATAAAAAAACATTTTTCCCCACCAATCTTCAATCGAATGTATTCATCGCGAAGAAACATAAATAAACATGAAATCCTAATGAAAAAAATGCAGCAAATGAAAAGGAAACATCAGACTAGAACTCGGGTAGAACGAGGAGATAATAACAAGGAGAACGTTTTCCTTTTTCATTGTTATGCTGTCATGTTCTTTTGACATTTCTATTTACATTCATGAAATTGAATAATAAAAAAAAGAACATAATTAAAGTTGCTGGCAGAACTTATTCAAATCATTTACAAATGCCAACCTGCTTGTAATTGAAGGCTGGCAAGGAATTTGGTGAGTAGGATATATTACTTGAAATTGAATCAAAATGTACAAGTTTTGTTTTTCACTGTTGCAATAAGTCAACAACGTTAATTTCTTTCTACATCATCACAAGTGGTTGGATACCATCAACACTGTGTCTTTCAGCAGAGGCTTCTGTGATCTTCATGGTTGCAGCTTGTTGCTTGCAATGCTGCTTGGCTTGGTGGAAAGACCAGTAAGCATGTGCAGCCAAAACTCTGTCCAATAGCTCTTGGGGCACTGGCTCTCCTCTCCTTTGTTGAGGGCTGATTTTTGCAGTGTGCACTAATGTCTTCCATTTATCCTGCCCCACACCCATAGGTCAAGTTTTTAGCAATTAAACAATGCTAACATTACAACAAATGTCTGTGATGTGATAACCAAATTAACCGCAATATTCTATTTATTCTAACAAATATTTAATGCAAAGGAACCAATTTTCTTTGTAATAATCCACATAAAATACGCATTTATGCTTTGGACAAGATTTATGTTATCACCTGTACAAAATACTTATGATTTATATAACTATTGAGCTATTGAAGTGTACTAAAGAAATTAATCATAGTATCCTATGTTCCAATGGAGGAGGTCTGTAGAATCGAACAGGAAGCATGAATGCAACAGAAATAGTGATAAGGCCTATTTTTAACATACTTATTAATCTCGGATAGCGGTGCAGCGGCTGACCCTCCAAACTGCTATAGCGCTATAGCGGGTAGCGCTACAACACTACTGTGGAAAGTGTACCTAAGTGATACACTAAATTGTACTCCACAAATATAAAACTTAAAATATGAAAATGTGACATAAAAAACAAATTTGAAGGATCTCCAACTGAAACATAAATGATTTCAAACATTAAAATTCAAATCATAAGCAAACTGAAGGAATTAAAGTCTCAAATAATGTAACACAATAAAATAAAGTGGCAAAATTAGTCAAAATTCAAACTGCCACTTAAGTGAAATGTCAAAATCAAAGAACTTAAGGAACTAATCATAATTGAAATCATGAACATCCAAATCTTCATCTTCACTTTCACTTGTATCTAAGTTGTAAATCTCTTCTTTCTATAACGAGAACACTTTTGCAGAAACTACTGTAGCGGCGCAATAGCGGCCGCTACATCCTCTACACTTCTCCTGACCGTCGCGGCGCGGTCTATGGCGGCCAGCCGCTGCACCACAACGCAACTCCGCTATAGTGCGCTACAGCAGAGCTATTCAAAAATATGATTTTTAATAAAGTAGATGAATGAAACAACTTGCAAATCAATTACCATAAACTCGAATGTCTATTCTGTATTATCTTTCTAGTAATTTACTGCTTAAGTAACCCTTTGAGTTAAAGAACAGTGTGTCTGATATAATAAAAGAGAGTACCTTCAAGTCTACGTAAGTCCTATGGTCTGCATTCTCAAAAGCTCGCAACTTCACATCACGCCACCTGCATGGTGAAAACATTGTCAGCAACCCAGTTTTCCTGTCTGTATGAAGGTGAAGCTGATAAACATCAAACCTTCCCGTTCCAAGTTCCTCAACTGCCTGAACAAGTGCTTCTACTTCAGACACAGAAAATGGTCTCCTCATTCGACGCTGTACAAGCTCAGAGCGTTTGGTTTTCTGATTCACAGGAACCGCAGCTAATGTATCTGTGCTCCTATCTGGAACAGTAACCAGCGCTCTCGAATCTGGTGTTAATTTATCAGCTATAGTGTCAGTGGGGGAAGAAGTTGATTCATGGTTAATTTTAACAAGGTTGCCAGTATTTGTCAGCAATGAGGAATCCTGTAAAGCATCAGAAATCCCTGAATCTAAGACAGGATTTCCCAGGGACCTAGAAAAATCAATTTATGAAATTAGTTATGTAGACAAAGAAAACATTCAAATGACTAGAGCAGAACCATAAGCAAATTTCATCAGATGACCAGAAAAAGAAACTTTAGTTCTCCAGATTGGAGGAGTCCATTTATCATAATTGTCGCATCATAAATCAGCTATGGCGTAATCAACTTTGGCTCACCTGGTAAGCTGGGATGTTTCGCATTGAGAAGGATCACCAACACAAACAGCTGGAGAAGCTTGAAAAGAACTAGGCTCCAATGCAAAACCAAGTTTATCCAGATTTTCTTTACAAGATATACCAGTCTGCAGAAGAGTTCTGTTGTCATCTCTAACTTTTTTCCCCTGAATAAGAACACCAACATGTACTTCACCTCCAAGTATAGCCATCACTGCCTCCATTACTGTCCTCTACAAAAATTTGAAGAAAAAAAATTACATTAACTAAAAGAACGTTCTGCAGACACTTTAATTGGTGGATGAGGCTCAATGATAACAGTAATACAATTTTTTTTTAAAAAATAAAATGAAAACTATATGTTCATACCTTTAATGAACCAACAGTTGCAGTTTCAGGAACCTCAAGATAAAGCTCTGGGATCTTGAATGACTTAATGCTAAACTTTACTGTACACAAGGACAGAACATCAGTTCCTAGAGGATGCAAAGAACAATTGAGCTAACCAAAATTAACGAACACTGCGTAATTAATTACCACGAGAATCCTTAGATACATGAAGTTTTGAAGATGAGCTAGGGTTGTTTCCATCATTTCCTTTCGCAGGCAAATCAGATACACTCTCACTGCTGAATCCTCCATCAGTAGTTACCACTGAACCCTGGTCAAAGAATTTCCTCCTCTTGAAAAAAGTGTAGTGATGAGATCTTCCAAAGCTATAACAAGTCTTCCTCTTACGATACAGTGGTTTTACTCCCTCATCTGCAAAATTTATTTTACTAGTGAAAAACACAAAACTACCCAACTCATAGCAATAATTATGCATCAGATAATAAAGCATTTGATAACAGAGAATTTGTTACCACATTACCAGATCTAGAATGTTCATAATCCTTCAACTTTGGAGCAACCTTCCAGGATTTGGAAGTCAGCCGCTTCCTGATTATTTGGTTTGCAATGTATTGTGAAGGTTTATAAGCCTTTGACTTGGTGCAAACTTTGTTGCACCTTAAAAAGTTTTCGTCATCATCTGTAATACCTAACTTAATATCATTCCCATGCCTGGAAAAGGAAGCATTGGGAAACAATTTTCTACAAACTGGAGATTTAACATCACTGTTCAAGTTAATTAGTGCAGGAGAGTTAACACTCAATTTCAAGGGATCCTTGAAACTAAATTTATTATCTAAAGATAATCCCTTGAAGCCTGAACTGCCAGCCTCCTGATCTTTGGATACTTCCACTAATCTATTAGAATGATGTCCAAACTTATTCTCCAATTTTAAAATTTCGGACTTGAAATCGTCAGCTTCAACTTTCTCCCGACAGTCTGAATTATTATTAACTGAAATGCATTCTAGTACACAATCAGTCTCAGCACACTCAATGCGTTTCTCACTACTCTTTTGTGAGCCCACCTCAGTCATAAAAATACTCTCTGCACAACTTACATTATGATTTCCTTCTTCTGTGATTGGTTTAACTTCATCCTGCATTTCCTGCTCAACAGCACCTTGGCTAAAGGCATGTTGATAGTTTCCTTCAGATGCATTGCTAGAAGCTGAACTTTCACTCTCTTGCAACAACTTGCCAGCTAAAGATGCCAGTAGTTCAAAAGCACAAACTTGATCATCCTCAGCCAGTTTCTTGGAAGCACAAACTCTTCCATCCTTAGCCGGTTTCTTCGAAGAACAAACTTGGCCATCCTCAGCCAGTTTCTTGGAAGGAACCCTTCTCTGAAAAATTTCCAACTTAAGGGACTTAAATAAAGTTCAAAGCATAAAAACACAAAACAAAAGAACAATTGCCACAATTGCAGCAATTACTTACTCTTGCAGATCTAGGACATCTAGGTATAATGGGGACCTGAAAGCCCCTGAATCCATAATCTAGCCTCCTCTTCAACACCATAGCGTGAACATTTATAGCTCATCAATTAACCAGAAGCATCAGTACGTCAGATCCTCATCACTGTCATAAAATTGAAGGAAGACCCATGTATCAAGTTGATTTTGAAAATTTTGCTAGAATTTACATATTGGGAAAGAAAATCCAATGAATCGTGAAGAATACATCAGCCAGTGACAAAACAGTTATTGGTTTTCATATACTACTACAATAGAAAAGGTATGCTATTTGAATAATCTAAGCTTCACTATTACGGGAAAATTTTATCTATATATATCTTGAGGAGACAAGTAAGATTTTCTCATAATACAGCACGAAGGAAAAAGGAAGATTCACAAATCACACTATTATTTTGGCATAAAAAGGTGAGCAAAATCAGTGAAAAAAATAAATAAAGAATAAATAAGGAAGCCAGAAGTCGGATAAACGAAACCTGTTGAAATATCCATCCAGTTGTTATGGTATATTACCATTTCTGCCTCAAATGAAAGCCAAACAACAATAAAGACAAGATGCAGAACAACTCAAGAAAACAACCAAGTTGATTCACGAATGCATGCCTTTTAGTAAGATCCATAACAACAAATAAGCAAAACTGGACATGCAAGGGAATGAAAGATTAATCCACGTCTTAGCAAATAGATAAATTGGAAAATCGATCGCATAGAAGCACAATGCTAACATAGGTTCAGATCAAAAAGCATGAAAACAAAATCAGATTCCATGGCCTTTGCCCATGATGTCAGTACATAAAGAGATACATCTAAACTCATGAATAAAAACCAGAACAAAAAAATTACACACACTTCAAACGGTGGAGGGACCATAAAATAAAAGTCAGCACATACAAAACCAAAAACAATCATAAGGCTGCATAAGATCAACACTAAACAACACAATTCTGATTCTCAAGGTCAGTACTGTGCTTCCTAAACTGCAGATTTTCAGGCCAAATCAACAACCAGAAGAAGACAACCCGAAATTCAACCAAAAAAAAAAAAAAAAAAAAGGCCCTCAAATACAAAGCCAAAAATTTATAATTAAAACGAATGAAATACCCAGTTGTTCAAGGCAAACAGAGCCTAAATTCCATGATCGGATCTCAACCTTAAAATCCCAAAATTTTCATGTTAGGAATAGGAACCCACAAAAAACAAATAATAATTCAGAATCCTTAACATGCGAACTCACCTTCCAGTACTACACATGTTGAATTGAGATCAAGTAACAAAATTTGACCGGAAAAACATTTCCACAGGAGAATGCACCACCAACTTGGGGAAGGAAAAATCGAAACCCAGGAACTGCCCGAAAATGTGAAACAAATCTAATGAAACTTGGAATCCCAAATCACCAAAACCAAAAAAGTTCTGTACTTTTTCTCTCTCCCTCTTTCAAGTTTTCGTTTTTAATATATTTTATTATTTTTGTGAGAAAGATAGATAGATCATAGATAGATAGAATAGAAGATAGGAGGAGTTAGAGTTTTCAAGGACAAAAACCCACCAACACACACAGTACCATATAAACGACAAAAACCACGCAACACTGCAACCTTAAAGCTTAAACCCTTTTTTTTACTTTCTTTGTTTTGACCGCACAACTGGAACAACCATTGAAAAGACATTTTTATCCCGGCAATAGCACGTCCACGTGGAATTTCTTTATTCGAAAATATTTCTTTTCAGCAGTACGGGTGTACGATCACTTAATACATCATTTAGTAAATATGAAAATAATAATAATATATTTATACTATTCTTATTTTTATGATTCTTTTCTTTTATATTTCTATTTTTTTCATTCTTAGTAACGAAATACCTACTTTAATTATACCGAAAATATGATTCTTTTATTCTTAAGAACGAGAGCTTTTTTTTTTTTTTTTTTTGTAAATAAAGAGGGGCTAAGCCCCAGAAACAGTGAACGAGAGCTTTTTCGATACTAGAAAAATACCAACATAGAGAGAGAAAAAAATGCCACGTGGATTCCTCACCCATTCTACCAGGTGCGTATCATTATTATTATTGCTTTCCTTGCTTAATCTCTAGTGGTCCACTTTTTCTTTTCCCCTTTATTTTGATTTATTTATTTGGTGATGATGGGTTTTGTGGTGGATGAATTTATTCTTCTACATATATGATAAAATAATCAATAGAACTGTTGTATTATCACTAGTTATATAAACAAATTCTTCAATCTTTATTTCCTTTTAATGGCATTAATATCATCCAATTCACCTTAAAGGAATTAATTAAGAGTGTATGCACGTCCTTTTATGTAGTTGGCCTATAACAAAATGTTTAAAAAAGATACACTTTCAATTTGCTAATTTACATAATGCATGTGTCGAGAAGTGGAGTCGGGGGAAAAAAAGACGAAACACAAAATGGACATAAGTATTAATCCGAGAAAATATAAATTAAATAACAAAAAGGAGTGAAAGATGGATTTCTGATCCCTTAAACTTTTGAGACTTTGAGGCAAGTGATATAAGATTTTAAATTAAATAACAAAACGTTTGAGGTTGTTTCCCTACAAATTAGGATATAATTGGACGAGTATTAGGATACAACTGGATGAGTATATCCATATATATTCCATACATAAAGCAAATAAAGTGCCATTTCCTCACCAAAAAAATAAAAAAAAAAGTGCCATTTATTTCCATAATTTGAGTATTTTCAAAAATTTCAGAAAATATAATTTCAAATATTATGGTTTTAAAGAAGGGATATTCTTACTACTAAACCACTAGTAAGGTTGGCAAAAACGAGCCAACTCGTCGAATTGGCTCGTAACTCGCCAAAAATGAGCCGGGTTGGGTTGGTAAAAACGAGCTGTCAACCCGAGCCAACACGGCTCGTTTCAACCCGCGAAAAAACGAGCCAACCCGCGAGTCAAACGAGCCAGCTAGCGGGTTGAGATTTTTTTTTATAAAAAAATACAAAATATAATATACAAAAATAGACAAACCCCACACATGTTGTCATCATTTTTCTTCCTTCTCTAAACCTAAGTCCCTAATCTTCTTACATCCATGCCATTTTTATATTGTTAGGTTGTGCTGACTCTGTTTGGTTCAAATATCTTACCCACTTGGTAGCAAGTGGTTCTGATTGTTTCTGGATGTTGATGCAAATTTGTTGTGAAGAAAATTTGAAACTAAAATATTTTGCTTTTATTTCTCATTTTGTAACCCTTTGTTTAAGCTAATGGAAGCCACATAGCAGGTGCACTAATACTACAAGGTCATTTAAATAGGCTGAAAACGAGTCAATTTTTGAGCCAACTCGCGGGCTATTTTTTCAAGCTAACCCACGAGCCATATTTTTGAGCCAACCCGTGAGCCAACCCTAACCCGACTCAGGTCGGGTCGAGTTGGGTTTTCTAGCTCATTTTTTTGAGCCAACCCGAACCCGACTCGGGTCGGGTTGGGTTGGATTTTCTGACTCATTTTTTTTTCGAGCCAATCCTAACCCGGCTCATTTTTTTCGGGTTGAATGCGGGTTGGGTCGGGTCGGGTTGGCCCATTTTGCCAACCCTACCCACTATGCCACTACCTTCATAATCACCATGGATCAAAAAAAGAAAATGTTAAAAAAATTTGAAGAGAAAAAATATTGATCCAATAACGATGATTTTGGGAGAGGTGGGTTGGTTGTGAAATTTTATGATAATAAGAATATATCCTCTCGTAGTTTTATATGGAATTGAACCGAAATAGTATTTGATTTGAAGATGGGATTGTTTTATAAGAGATTTTGATAAATTTAAGTCATATTTGATTTTTGATTAAAAAATAAGACTGTTTTACATTTAAAAAAATAAATAAGGGGATGTATTGAATTAGGATTTTAAAAGATTTTTTTGAGATAATTTTTTTTATAGATTTTAAAAGACAATTTAGAATTAGAGAGAATTTAAAGACTTTTTTTACGATCAAGAATTCATAAGATTGGATTTCAAAGGATTTTAATAGAATTTATAAGATTTGAAAGGACAATATGAATTTATAAGATTTTAAAAAGCCATATGAATTTATTTTTTTTTTTTGATAACAAGCCATATGAATTTTTAACAAACATTTAAAATTACAATAGTTAATAAAAAAATAACAAGAAAATGCAATGATGTTAATAAAAAAAAAAGGTAAAACCTAATATAATTTTCTCAAACAGTAAAAAATAATATATATTTTAACAAATATTCAAAATTACTAAGTAACAACTCTCCATATATCTAAAGCTATACTACTCCTCCATACATTGACATTTTCTCGTTTTTGCACTTGGGTTTGACCAATGCATTGAAAATTATCTCCTTCATTTTATATCAGAACTATACATATACGATTACAAGACCCAATTTTTTTATTTATTAAAATAATTTTAAATTAGCTTATTGAACCCAAAGTTCTTGCTAAAATTTTATTTGAATTTTTTTGCAATTGATCTTGGAAACTTTGGTATTTTTGTTCTACGTGATAAGAGTTTTATAACCATACATCATATCATATGCATGTTTTTATTGAGTACTCTAAAAAAATTTCAAATCTGAATTTCTGGATTTTATTACATGAAAGTTTAAAATTTTTCTCAAATTATTTTCAATCGATACATTGAAGGGAAAATCTTAAATCATTTTGGGATTTTTGAAAAACAAGCTTTTAGTTATCTATTAACACAAAAATTGTTTGAAAACATTTCTCATAACGAAGGAATTTCGTGCATGAATGTATTGTTACGAAATATAAGGTTTATATTATGAAATTTTCAATCTTTCTTTAAATTGATCTTGTTTCGTTGATGTAAAATTAAAATTGGTCGAGAATTTTAGTTCCCCTGTTGTTTTATGTTATTTACAAAAATTATATTTTTTTATGCTAAGAAAAATCGCGACTCATAGCTTGAAACATGCAAGACGAGACTCAACAATTAAAAAAAAGGGCTTTATTTCTCTCATGTTATAGGAGAGATGTTATCTTATGTTGTGAGATAAATTAAGCGGGGTCCACCAATTTTTTTAAAAAGAAAAAGAAAAAAAGAGAAGGGCACATCTTTTTATGTGAGTGTGACATGAGAGACATATCTTTTTTTTTTGGAGTTACCCAACCCTAATTATCTCTTTGAGACGAATTGGCTTCCTCCGGTATCCCCACGAGCTTCGACTCTTTGAGCCGGCTATGGGACTAATCTGGAGTGCAGGGGAACAGTGATGACTAAAGGTTCAGCCCCCTCCCTAAGAATGCATTCAGCGGGAATCGAACACATATCCAACCCCACTAACTCAGCGCCAAGTTACCAACTGAGCTGCACCCATTGAGTTACATGAGAGATATATCTTATGTAATATAAGAGTATAATTTCCCTAAAAAAAAAAAAAAATATGCAGAATATATGGTTTAATTAATCATGCGCCGATTCCACCATGATGGCATATTAAAAATTGCCCGAGTGACTTTGTTATTGGCGAGACGACTTGACTTACAACTTAACTTGGTTTGCCTTAACCCATTTTAAAAGTAAAAAATTCAGATTACGAGCCCGACTCGTTTCTTAATAAATATTATTTTATTTATTAAAATAATATATTATTATTTTTAATAAAATAATATCGTATTATTTCTCTTTTCATTTGACAAACATATTTTTTTTAATCCTAAATTTTTTCGTCGTCACTCGTCGCCGCTTTTCTCTCTTTTCTCCTGTACAAAATTTTGCTATTCTTCTGGACCAGGAGCGGACCTAGTGGGGCTAGGGTGGGCCACCCCCCAAATTTAAAGAAATTATATATGTATATATATGTATATAAAATAAAATTTGAGTAATATTATTAAATTATTTGTTTTGAAAATTTTATAATGTAAAATTCCTATCTATATCACATAACACTCAACCTTTTTTTATTTGTATTCCTATTCCACTATTGATGTGAAAAAAGGGCAAAAAAATTGATATATTGTTTTTTAAATAAAAAATTACGAAATTATAACAGTTTTGTAAATAATTACATATTTATTGCATATTATCACGTCCAATTAGGGCGTCACTCAAGAGGCAATCACGTCTAATTTAGGCGTCACTTATCAGGTGTTGACACGTGTCACATTTTTTTTCAAAAAAAAAAATTAACAATTTCATCGTAAAACTTCTGAAGGCCATAACTTTTGACTCGGGTATCCAAATCAGGTAATTATTTTTTTGATTTCACATAACTTTTTGAGATCTACGCAATGACATATCATTTGACATATTTTATTTCTCACAAACACAATTTAAATTTGCAAGAATGATATTATAAGAGCGGTTAAACCCATAAGCCTCTAAGTTCTGGGTTTGTGATTTAATATAAAAAATAAAAATTTGATTTGTGATTTAAAATCAAAAATCAATTTGATAAATCAGTATTAATAAAGGAAATAATTAAATAAATATTCTAAATCTCTAAAGAAGAAGGATTTAAATTTT